GTGGCGCTCTACCCTGTATTGTAGACACGTTAAGGACACTCTTGAGGAAAACATATGCTGGTCTTGTTCCTGAAACAACCGCAAAGTGCACACTTGACCCCAACCCACTTCCTCCTTCCTGGGCCTGCCAGCAGCATGTCTTTATAGCGCCCTCTCCTGTCCAGTGTGAGCACTGCTTCTCCACCAGACGTGACTGCATCTCCCCAACACGCTGAGCTGGGGGCTCAGAATGACTGAAAATGGCCTGGATACAGCAGATGCCTGTGTTTCCTCATGCGTTCACTTCCTTCCCCAGCCTAGCCTACATTTAGCAGTTTTATTGTTTAAAAATGCTGTCTCCTGTGGTCTGTTAACCTCCATTCTCTCTGGCTTGCATCTGGCTCCGGACCAGTAGGCCATGTGCATTTCATTTCTGCACCAGTATTGGTGGGTTTCTCCTCCATCTCTCTGTGTCTCTTTTTCCTCCTCTTGGAGGGCGTGGAAGATGAAAGCCCGGACCACTTAGGTATATTCGCAGCCAATCAGATCCTGGGTTTGGGAGACGGGTAGCTACACCCATGGTGGTTCTGGCCTTAGCACAGGAAAGACAGAGAAGCAGGCTGCCCCCAGCCCAGCCGTGAACATGTGCAATTTTCTTAGGCCCTTTCTCCTAAGAGAGTGACAGTAAGTTAAAGCAAGTAATTGAGGATGGGGTGGATCTTGGGTTAGGGGACTATAGCGGTGTAAACTGTATTCTACCCCAATTTTCAACCTTCACAAATGTGACAATACTTGGAAATGGAGTCTCTTGGAGACATTAATAATTAGCTATAGATGGGTACATAAGGATGGGACAGCAAAGGCGGGATTGGTGTCCTTATAAGAAGAGGAAGTGGGGGACTTCCCTGACAGCCCAGTGGTAAAGAATCTGTCTTCCAATGCAGAGGATTCAGGTTCGATCCCAGGTTGGGGAACTAGGATCCCACATGTCTCAGAGCAACTAAGCCCGTGTGCTGCAAATACTGAGCCCGCATTCCTCAACTAAGGCCCAACACAGCGAAAAATAAATCAACAAATATTATTTTAAAAGAAAGAGGAAGTGATCCCAGAGCTCCTTCCCTTCCTCCAGCCACCCCACCCCACCCTCAGCCAACCCCATCCCCTCTCTCTCTCACATGAGGACACAGCAAGAAAGCAGCTGTCTACAAGCCAGGAGGTGCACCTTCCCCAAGAGTTGACTATACCAACCCCTTGACCTTGGACTTCCCAGCCCACAGCCTGTGGCACTGGGTTAGTGAAGCCCCAACTGCCTGGGACAGGACCCCAGAGCATCCCTCTTTTCTGATGGAGACTAATAAACCTCTCCTATCAACTTGACTCCATCCCTTTCTCCGTCCTCAAAACAGAACAAACAAAAAAAAGAATGCCATTAATTATTTACCAGGAGCCGTGTTTCAAGGCAATTAGTTGTCTGAGTTCCCTTCAGGTGGAGCAGAGATGGTTCTGCTGAGGGTCCCTGCTCTGTGGGGCTTCTCCCAGCTGTGCCCATGGCAACCCCAAGAACAGCAGGGAGTGAGATGCTGTGGGGGAGGGGGGGAAGGAGTGGGGAGGATCTGGGGGGAGAGGGAAGGATGGGTTTGGGAAGTATCTCTGCCCTGAAACCTGTAATTAAGGAGCACTTCAGGGACTTCCCTGATGGTCCAGTGGTTGAGAATCTGCGTTGCAGCCACAGGCGGAGAGGGTTCCATCCCGGGTTAGGGAAGTAAGATCTCACATGCCGCAAGGCGGTGCCAAAAATAAATAAAAACCATTTCAACCCTAACCCTCTTCTGGTCTCTCTTTCTTCTTCCTTCTAGATGGCCTGTGTTCTAAGTTGCTTAGTTGTGTCTGACTCTTTGCAACCCCATGGCGGTAGCCCACCAGGCTCCTCTGTCCATGGGATTTTCCAGGCAAGAATACTGGAGTGGGTTGCCATGCTCTCCTCCAGGGGATCTTCCCAACCCAGGGATCTAACCCACATCTTTCACGTCTTGCACTGGCAGGCAGGCTCTTTACCACGAGCGCCCCGGGGGAAGTCCTCCTTCTAGATGGAGTCTGGCCTAGGCCTTTTCCCCTCCTCCTGAGGCTCACTCTTCTACCTCTCCTCCTCAGCAATCTCACCCCTGGAGAGGGCTTCCCTGCTGCGGGTGGCCCCTGGAGCACCTTGGGAAGCAGGGATGAGGGAGTGGGGACAGGGAGGGGACCAGAAGCACACGTGTCTACCTCTGCAGGATCACTGTTGCCCGCCTGGGCCCTGTGGGTGGAGGATTCGCCTGGCCCTGCAAAACAACACTCTGTTCTCGTTGTTACATTTGAGATAATAGAAAATAGGAAAAAAAAAAAAAAAAGAACTATAATAATCTTATTGAGGAGCCGACCCAGCCTACCCTTCGGTTTCTGTGTGTTCGATGGGGCGGGAGATGGGCTGGAGGCTGAGGGACGGTGGGGAGGATCTTAGCCTTCTGTGAGATTGAGCAGCTCCATCTGACCGTCCTGGGCTTGGGCTCCCCGCTCTTGGCTGGCACACGGTGTGATTCACCTCCCACACCGAAGGCTCCTTGGCCAAGTTCTGCAGTAATGCTCTTGCACGGGCTGGGATGTGTGGGATGGGAGGCTAAGAAAGCACGGTCCTGTTTGGGGCCCTTGCAAAGGTTTTTCTACAAGAAGGATGACGTTTTAAACGCACAGCATCCATCTGGAATGGGAGAGGGGGCGGGGCCGCGGGGCCGCGGGGTGACCCCCGCTGTTTCCTTCTCCTTTGAAATGAATTGTGCTCATCTCGGTGGCTGTGCCCACCCGCCATCTCGAATTTACAGACTGGAATGGACGGGGAGCACGTCACCAAGAAAGAGACTTCTGCGGGCCTGCCTGCTCTGGGGATGTAGGGAGGCGGGGTACAAATGAGGGGAAAGCCCCAGATCCTTTCCCGCCAAGTTTTCCAGGAGAGCTGTACCCACAGCTTGCAAATTAAAAGGGGCCAGGGAGGCAGAGGAGAGCCTGGGACAGACACGCGGCCCCTCCAGATGGGGTCCCCACTGTAACTGCGCCGCTTGCAACCTCTAATTACATTGCTGCTGGCAAGAATGAGGTCATGGTGTCTGCAAGTGACTTTCTCCGTAACTAGCCCCTCTCACCGCGGCAGGCTCCCTACTCAGTCTCCTCCTGGGCCAGGGAAACTCTCAGAAGCAAAATCAGTTCCCTTCCTGTCTGTGTGTGTACAGGCGGAGGTGGCAGACAGCCTCAGATGGACAGAGACAAAGGTTTGCTGGATGGGTACCGTCCTCTTGGCTCTCTAACGAGCAGGCACGCCTGGAGGCTTCCAACACAGAAGAAAACCTCCTCCACCACCAGCTGCCACCAGTTGGTGCCCGGCCCTGGCCTGTGGGGATTAAACTCCCAGAAGAAGGTGCATGGGGCTACGCACAGTTGTGCAACCGTGTCTCTTTTGACAAAGAAATAAACACTGTTCAGGGCTCCTAGGAGCATCCGGTTCAGACTCCTGGCAGCCGAAGTCTAGGACCGGACACGAGGAAGGTGGCCGTTCGGGTGGATGGGAGCGCCCACTCTCAGAGAACGGAGACGCAGCCTTTCTGCAGGTCCTTTGCTGGCTGAGAAGCAGAGGTTCCTGCAAATCCGGCTCTCAGGCCCCCTCTGTGAGCTGAGAGTGTAACAGCATCCTGTGGACAGCTGTTCTCCCGAGGCCTGGGAAGGGCCTGAGCCCTGGGACAGGGTGGTGAGCACAGGCAGGCGTGTGGGAGGCCCCAGCTGGTCATCCCCAAGCAGCCAGCAATGACGCGGCCAGGAAGACGAAGGAGGGCTGGCCACACCTAGGCCACCTGCCCCTCGAAGCTTCCCCCCCTTCACTCATCAGCCAGTCAGGACTTCAGCCTGGGATGAAGCACAGGTTTTCATGGCGGTGGTGGGGGGAAGAGTCACGAAACATTGTTTGATTAGGCGATGGAAGCACATAGGTAAAGCAGGCTGGCTTCTCAGCTGCTTTCAGAGGAGGCCCAGGGTTCTTTTTCCCAGGCAGGTGAGACGGGAGTATAAAAGTGATAAAAGCTTGGCAGGGCTGTGTCTGCTCCACAGCAATCAGAAAGGATGCCCTCTGGGGCGGAAAGGGCCGCCAGGGAGAGAGAGTATAAAAGCGCGGTGCCTGCAGGTGGAATCTCGGCGGCTCTTTGCTCTCAGCGGAAATACCAAGGGGACAGGGAGACGCCACGCGGCTCCGCCAGTGCAGCACCAGGAGCATGACAGGGAAATGTTTTCCTTTCTTTTGAAATCAGGAGAAATCGATGAACTTTCAGGTTGAAGAAAATGGTTTCAATATGTAATATTAATATCTTCGTCTCTGTGCCAACAGTCATAACTATTATTTTCAATGTACACAAAGGGGTATTTTCATGGAGGAAGGGGTCCCTGGAAGCAAGGCTGTCTAGTACCCAGGACTGGGTAACTGAGTCCTGGAATCCGGCGCTGGGCGTCTGCCTCAGGAATGCTGGGCTCAGTTCCTGAGTTCAGCTGACTTCTCTGGTCGACCGCGAAGGAAACCTACAAGCTCCCTTTTTTATAGCTTCTTTCCTAATTTACCGTTCTTCTACTCTTCGCAAGAAGAGCTCAAAAGGAAAAAAAAATTTTTTTTCTTTAAAGAAGAAGACAAAGGATGCATATACCTTGGCACCAACCTCACTTTCTGGGCCGTCTGTAAGTCCCCTGCCTCTCTCTCCGTTTTGCTCTCCGCCCTGAGCGGTTCCAGACTTTTGAAAGCCTGACCTGGGAAGGGCAAACTGAAATCAACCAGTTGACCGAACCCCTGTTCCCGGCTCCCCCTCCACCCGTGTTACTCAACGTCTGGGAAGGGTGTCGGGGTTCCCGGCTGGGGAGAGAGGTCGAATGAGGCCTCTGAGATGGGGGTGCCGGTTCGAGGCTGGAAGGGAAGGCTGGGCAAGAGACCCCAGGGGCTCTGGGCGCATCCCGCCCGGCTAAGGTTCCAGGTTGCCACTGCTGCCCTCCGGCGGGTCCCGGAGACGCTGGGCGCCCGCGGCCGCGCAAACGGCTCGCGTTTCCGCGGGGCTCGCTCCCGGGCCTGGCTCGGGGCCGCCGCCGCCGCCCCCCCTCCCCGCGCGCAGGCTGCTCTCCAGTCGCGGCCACGGGGTAGCGCTCGGCCCCCCTCGCCGCGTCTCCGCCTCCGCCTCCGCCGCGCTCGTCCCCGGCTCGCGCTGCCCCCGCAGCTCCTGCTCGGCGCAGGCAGGAGCGGCTCTCCGGACGCCGAGCCCGGGAAGCCGAGGGCGGCGGGTTCGGCCAGCAAGCGGCCGACGCGGGCGGCGGCGGCGGCGCGGCCGAGGTACTGGGGCGGGCGCGGTGGCGGCCGCCGCTTCTCCGGCCCGGGCGGTCGGCGCGCGCCGGGCGTCCGAGTAGGCGCCGCGCCCCCGGAGCCGGGGCCGCCCTCCGGGCTCTCCGCACGTCTCGCCGAGAGCTCCGGCCGGGGCGCGGCGGAGGGCAGAGCCGCCGAGCTCCAGCCTCGGGCCGGCAGGAGCCTCCGCGCCTGGGCGCCGGCCACCAGGCGGGATCGCCGAGCCTAGCAGCCGTCCCCGCCGCCCCGCAGCCGGCGCGGACATGGGCGCGCGGGGTGGCGCGCCGGGCCGCGGGACCCGCAAAGTTTGCTAGCCCGCTGGGCGCGGAGCCGAGGGCGCGCCCGGGCCAGGCGTCCCCAGAGGGACCGAGAGTCCCCGGACTGGACCCCGGGGCGGTGGAGCCAAGAGGGTTGGCTCGGCCTCGCCAGATGCCGGCTGCAAAGTTAGAGAGAAGAAAACTTCAGCTCCAGGGAGGTTCGGACCGCTACGCTCACCGCGCCCCCGAACCCCGCGCCCCTGAAAGAAGCCCCGCAGCCGCCTCCACCGCCGCGCTCGCCTCCCGCCTGGCCCCGGGGGCCCGGCGCCCGGATCGGCGGTGACTGCGTCCGCGCCGAGCACCCAACCAGGGGGCGGGGAGGGGGCGGGGGGCGGGCAACGTGGCCACCGGAGGAAGTTTCCCGAAGTTGTCGGTTTATTCCGGAGACCGGCCCGCGACCCGGCCGGATCGCCGAGGCGGCTCTGCGCGGGAGGAGAAGTCGGAGTTGGGGTGCTCAGGGGGGAGGCGCCCCAAGACCGAGAGCAGCCTCTCCTCCGTCTCCTTGCTCGCCCCTCGCCTTCCCGGCGCGCCCCTGGGGATTGGACTTGGACTGAAGAGGAGGAGGAACGGTCGGGGTCGCCAGCGCTGCCCCTCCCGGGTGGATACCGCTCCGGGTCGGAGCCGCGGGGGACCGAACCCCACCAGGATTATAAAACAGTACGGAAGAGATCCCCTCCGAAAACAAGGATGGCCACCATGTGGGAACTGCTTCTCTGGACGCTGGTGGCCCTGCACCGGATCCGCGCGACTGGAGCCCAAGGTATGGGGGGGGGTCACCCCCACGTGGGGTGGGGGAGAGGGGGCGGGGGGCGGGAGCCCGCTGGGCTCACGACGGCCTCCGGGACCCCGGTCTTGGCCGGGGCACAGCCCTCTCCCGGGAGTTTCAGGATCCGTTCCCCGAGTTTGGGGGCTCTTTTTCGGGGATGGGGCGGTCTTGTTGAGACTTGTGGCTTCCGAATGAGGGAAGGTGGGGGTCCGTGCTGGGAGGCGTCGCTCGTGGAGGCTGAGAAGAGCTTTAGAGCAGTGGGGGGGGGGGACGCTACCCACCCCGCCCGCTGCGAGCGCCCTCGGGCTGGCGTGGGAGGGGCGGCCCTTCCTTGGGGGGATCAGCGCCCGGCGGCACCCAGCGGCTCAGGCGGCTCCTGGGTCCCCGCTCGTAGTCCGCGGGGACGGGCAAGGCCCCGCCGGGCACGCGCTGGCCACCCCAGGCGGCAGGGCGGCTGAAAAGAGCCGGAGCAGAGTGCGGGGTGCGGGCTTGGGCGCCGCGGGAGGGCAGTTGCGGGGCCTGCACGTCCCGGAGCCCGCGCCCGGCTGCGTGGCCGGCCGCCGGGGCCGGGGGTTCTTCGGGGTGCGCGCCGGAGCCGAGGTCGCGAGCGCAGCCCGGGACCCACCGGTGGGCGGTGCCCTGGGCGGTCTGAGGCCGTCTCCCCTCCCGCCCTCCCCAGACACACACTCAGCATCCTGCCTCTGCCGCCCGGTTGTGTCTGCAGCCTCCGCTCTGACCTGTAGCTGCCGGGAGCGGCCTCCGGGTGGAGAAGGGCCGGCGGCTTTGGGGGTGGGGCTGTCAGGGCCGGGGAGGAGGCGTGATCCGCCCTGCTCCCCTCCGGAGGGCGGGTACCCAGGCACCCCCGAGCCCGCCCGCAAGTCCCCGCGGGGGAGGGCGGCTGCGCCCGTGCTTCTTGCCTTTGGTGTTGGCGGATCCAGACCGCGGTGCCCGCGGTGTCCGAGCGGCGCCTGCTGGGGGCGGAGAGAGACGAAGCCTGGATTGAGCTCAGGACTCCCTTCCCGGGTTTGGCCTTGCCTCTTCCAGGCTCCGGGGAAGATCTGGACCCGCCGCTGCGGGTACGGGGCGGGGTGGGCGGGGGCCTCCGGTCTGCGAAGTCTCCAGCCTCGAAAGGGCCTCACCCCATCTCTGGGGTCCCATAACCGCAGGGAAGAAGGGACCCCCAGGCCCCCAGCATCAGGCGCTCCAGAGAGCTGAGATCAAAGAGATTAAAAATAATCAGCCCCCACTCACAGGGTTGAGGGGAGGATTTTACAACTTAATTTATGTTAAAGCACTTAGAAATTTTGTAATGGGGCCCTGCAAATGTAGGGTAATAAAAGTTATTATTATTTTTACGATCATCGTAAAATCTCCCAGCAGGCAGGGACTTCAGAGGCCGTCTTGTTCTAGTGGCCATTTAACAGATGGGAAGACTGAGCTCTGGGACCTTAGGTGACTCGCCCAAGCTACTGGGGGCAGGAGTAAGAACCCAGACCAGGTGAGTTGTACGCCCCTCTCCCCCTTCAACGAGGACCATCTGCAGCAGAGCTGGCCCCTAGGACAAGGTCCTCCTTCTGAGGGCCGGGGGAGGATGGTGAGGCGGACAGAACAGGAACGGGTCAGTGTGTCCTAGGACTCGTCCCAGCTCTGCTCTGAGATGCCAGTGGGGTTACTAGCTGAAAGCCAGGACACGGGGAGGACTCGTCTGGATGCTTCCAACTTAATTACTGCACAGACTCCAACAACCCCACGGTGTCCCTGGGCAGCTGGCTCCCTAGATCTTGTCCCACCCAGGACCAGGCTTGTCAGGAGTCCCCAGGGCACCTGAAGCCTCTGCCTGCATGTCGCTGAGTCGTTTCCACGTCCCACCTCCACACCTGGCCCAACCCCACCTGAGGCCAAGCGCCCTCGCATCTGCCCTGCTGAAGGCCAGGCCGCCTTCTGTCCCCGTGCTTCCGATGGGAGGGGCTCGCCCGTCAGAGGCAGTAAAGGTCTCTGATTGATTCACTCCCTCTCCCGTGTCTCTTGTTTGCTGCCCGCCTGAGTGTGGCTGCCCAGGTCCCCTGCTGCGCCGTTTGTGCTCTCTGGCTCCGGGAGAGTGTTTCCAGCCTCCACCGGGTGCTCGGCTCCCGTTTGTCTCCTGGGCGGCGGGCCGTGCAGAGCATTGTGGGGAAACCTGCTCTCAGCCCCGGTCTGGGGGCTCTGTTGCCTCGTGTGTTGGGTTGGGAGGGTCAGGCATGCAGCTCCAGCTTCTTATCTGCTCTGGGGTTCAGAATGGAGTTTCTCCTTTGCCTCTCTTCTCTGTGCCGTTAACCCTTTGGGGGGAATTGCCTGGAGAATCCCTATGAAAAGAGGAGCCTGGCGGGCTGCAGTCCATGGAGTCGCAGGCTCGGACGCGACTGAGCGACTAAGTACATCAGAAGCCACTGGCCCTGCCTGTCACTTTTGGGCCCGTGAACCCCGTTCTTCAGTCGTGATACAGAGAGGGGAGCCGAGCAGTCTTCCTCTCTGGGGACAAACCTCACATTGGCCGGTGCCAGACTTTATCTCCACTGAGCCTCATTGTTTTTTTCAGGTCCTGGCAACGTTACCTCTTTATACCGAAAGCTACCATTTGACCATTTCCCCTGAAACTCTGTCACAAGGGTCCCATGTATTTCCCAAACTAAGTGCTGTGATGTGTAAAGAGAGCTGAGTCCAGAAGAGGGAAGCAGGTATGCAGGGGTGCCCAGCAAGAGCCTGGTACACAGAAGGTGCTCGGTGTTGCTGCTGCTGTTTAGTCTGACTCTTTCGCGGCCCCGCGGACTGCGTCCGGCCAGGTTCCTCTGTCCCCGGGATCCTCCAGGCAAGAATACTGGAGTAGGTTGCCATTTCTTCCTCCAGGAGATCTTCCTGACCCGGGGATTGAACCCACATCTCCTGCGTTAAAGATGGGTTCTTTACCACCGAGTCACCTGGAAAGCCCTAGAAGGTGGTTAGTAAAGGGTGATTGTCACCGTTGTGATCATGATTGTTTTTACTCTAAGCCGAGGGATCACAAGGAGTGGGTTCTGGCCACCCACCGAAACGGCCCTGCACGCCTTTCCCTCACCCAGGACCCTTCCTTGACTTCGCTCGGTGACTCCCGGCGGCCCTCTGGCAGTGCTGGCCGGACTCCCAGGCTCTCGCATCGGAGGGTGGGCGCTTAAGATAAGCGCCTGGCAAGGTGTCTCACGTGCCTCGAAGACTTGACCGCTGCTACTGGAACATCCCGGGGAGGCCCGGAGGCTGGGAGCTGCGGCCCAGCCAGCTGGCCCAGAAGGTTCACGGAGGGGCGTCTGAGCTGAGGGAACCAGGAAGTGGGAGGACCGGGAGGTCCGGCAGCCCCGGAGGCTCCGGAGGCTCCGGAGGGAGAAAGTTTAGTGCCGGGAGGTAATCACAATGAAAGCCCAACAGCACTCAGAGGAACGGGATGAAAGTTTAATTACATGGTGTGGCTAAGCTGTAATTATTAATTACTGACAGCAAAAAATAACTTATTGATCAGGGCTCCTTACTAATTACCACGAGGCCGAGTGGCGTGCTTGCCTGGGGCTCAGCTGACGTGTGTCAGGAGGCCCATGTGACGGTGGGCCCGGTGTGGGGCGGGGGGTGTTCCCCTCCTTCCCTCCTCCTGGGACCAGAAAGGTGGCTCTCCGCCCCGCACACCCCTCGCCCTCTGCACCCCCAGGCCTCGGCGGGGCAGTCTGGAGCATTTCTGGCTGTGGTTCGATGAGCGACACAGTTTGGTGCTTTGTCTTGGCCAGAGAAGCCGCGCCCCCGCCTGGGATGGACAGACTCAGGACCCCCACCCAGAAAACCGAGTCGTGCTGGCAGCCTGATACCTGCCTCCGAAACGCTCCCTTTCATGCATTTGTGCAGCAAATATTTATCGACTGCCTCTCCTTTATGTTCTCTGCTGAAGGCCAAAGTAGGGGCCGGCAACCTTGTTCCATCAAGAAAGGGAGGCTGGGAAAGAGGCCAAGTCCTTTACAGCCGTTCTCTGTTTAAACAGTGCCTGAAGGGCCGACTTTAAAATAATGTGTTAAACTGCATATTGGTATGCATTCGATCTTGTACCACGGAACACAGTTGGGCTGTAAGCTAAACAGTAATAGAGAGTGAACTTGTTCTTCGTCCTTGGGACTTTTTCGTGGATTAGTT